TATATATATGTATAAATATAATTAATATTTATATATATATATATATATATATATTTATTTATTTATTTATTTATTTGACACAACGCATTTTAAAGCAAATAGAGCAAATAGCCTGAAATGTTGTTTTATATCAATATGTTAATATATATATATGTATATATGTATATATATATATATGTATATATATATGTATACGTATATATATATGTATATATATGTATATATACATATATGTATATATATATGTATATAACGGTTTGCTTTATTTGCTTTGTTCGCTTCAGAGTGCGTTTTATTTATAAATATCTAAATATATGAATATAAAAACATATATATATATATATATACAAATATATATATAAATATATATATATATATATATAAACGTTTGCTTTATTCGCTTCAAAATGTTATACATATATAATGTAATATTTATAATATATATTTGTTATGTAACGCTTTTTAGCGCAAGTAAAGCAAACAATACAAATTATATCCGCTAGTTATATATATTTAATATTATGTATATGCATAATATATATATATATATATATATATATTAAATCTATATATACATTTTATATTATCTATATTAAATTATTATTAATATATGTTATTATTATTATATATAATAACCTACAGACAGAAAACATATTTTTGTTTGTTTGTCTTTGAAGACAAAGACGAATTCTGCGCTGTCTTTGAATAAACAAATATAATTTTATTATTTTTTTATAAATAATATTTTTTATTCTTTTAAATAAACAAATCTAATTTTATTCTTTTTACAAGTAAACAGATATCTCCTTAACCTTTAGATAGTATATATATATATATATATATATATATGTTTTTTAAATCAGTTAAGACGAATATTATTGTTTATATTAACAAAGACAAGTATTATTGTTTATGCAGATGAAGACAAATATTATTAATATATGCAGAGACAGCGTATATATATACATATATATATATATAACACAACAGCAGCACCAGCAACAACAGCAGCACAGGAACAACAGCAGCAGCTGCAGCAGCAAGAACAGCACCATCTGCAGCAGCAGGAGTAGTAGCATCAGCAGCAGCAACAGTAGCAGCAACAGCAGCAGCAATAGATGCTTGTGGTTGCGCCTCTAGTTCCGGGTGTACGTACACCTGAATGCAGCGTAAATATTCTCTTTTGCTTTTTTTAAATAATAAAAAAAGAATTGTTCGCTGGAAGCCAACGGCGTATAAACAAACAAAAAAGATTGCAAGCAATGAGCTCAACATACACCTCAAAGTGCGCATGACATTCGGTCTCCTGCTGCTGCTGTTGCTGCTGCAGCAGCAGAAGAGGCGTCAATTGCTTTCGAGCAGCAGCAGCAGCATCTGCTGCTGCTGCTGCTACTGCAAATGCCTCTTTGCTGCACTTGCGCTAGGCAGCGGCACACCGCTGCCTTCCCATATAAAAATACGTCTGCTGCTGCTGCTGCTGCAGCCTGCAACAGCAGCAGCAGCAGCAGCAGAAAAAGCACCAGCTACAACGGCAGCAGCAGCAGAAGTAGCAGCAGAATACAATTCGGAAGCACATGGAAGCAACAGCCTGCCTGTGCTGCTGCAGTGCTGCGGCGCAAAAGCAGCAGCAGCAGCAGCAGCAACAGCAGCAGCTGCTGCTGCCGTTGCTGCTCCTGCTGCTGGCTGTCGTTCTGCTGCTTGCTGCAGCAGAGGGCTTCTCATGAGGATCTTTCCTCTTCATTAACACTCCATGCGGCTGCTGCTACTCCCAGCAGCTCATCTAGCAGCAGCAGCTGCTGCTGCTGCAGTAGCTGTTGCTGCTTCTGCAGCAGCCATTGCTGCTTCTGCTGCTTCGGGAGTTGATATCTCCGGTGCGTCCTTTCCCCGCAGTCTTTGCACGTTCTGCTGCTGCTGCTGCTGCAGCAGCTATTGCTGCTGTTGCTGCTGCTGGCTCTGTATGAGCAGCAGCAGACTGACAAATGGCGGCACAGATGGCTGCCCTGCAGCAGGAGCAGCAGCTGCTGCTGCTATTAGTTCGGCTGCTCCACGATCTCTGCATGAAAGACTGTAGCAACAGCAGCAGCAACAGCAGCAGCAGAATCAGAAACAGCAGCAAACGCAGCAGCGGCTTGCAAGCTCCTCTTGGGATAGCCGCAGCAGCAGCAGCTGCTGCTGAGGCTGCAGTTCCTTCCATATGCGGGTTCTCCGCTGCTGCTTTTTCTGCTGCTGCTGCTGCTGTTGCTGCTGCTGCTCTTGCTGCTGCTGCTGCTGCTGATGTTGCTGGTGCTCACAGTATGAAGTTGAGGGTTTGCTGCTGCAGCAACACCAACATAGAAGATAGCTTATATAGGGGCCTTTGCAGCCCAAGTGAGGGTTCGCTTGTGCTGCTGCTGCTGCCTCTGCTGCTGCCTCCTGTGCTGCTGTTGCTGCTGCTGCTGCTGCTACGGCTACTGCTGCTGCAGCTGGGTTCTTTGCGGCTCAAGCAGCCGCTGCTGCTTCTCACCCCACATGCAATAAACAGCAGAAGAGGCTTCACCAACAGCAAAGAATTCAGCAGCAGCTGCTGCTGCTGCTGCAGCAGCAGCATCTACAGGGGCTGCAGCCTTGAGGCAAAGGAGTCTGTTGCCGCTGCTGCCTCTGCTGCTGCCTCTGCTGCACCGGTTGCTGCTGCTGCTGCTGCCGCTGCTGCTGTTGCTACACCTAGGTGGGTATCTAGCAGTGGATATATCTGTAGCATGCAATTCTTTGCTGGTGCCTCTGCTGCTGCTCTTCGTGCGCTCGCTGCTGCTGCTGCTGATGCTGTTCTTGCGTTTGCTGCTGCTGCTGCTGCTGCTGTTACTACTGCTCTTGTTGCAGCGCTTCAACTGAGGCTGCAGTTGGTGAGCCCAGAAGAGCTGTGCTGCCTTTGCTGCTGCATCTGCTGCCGCTGCATCTGCTGCTGCTGCATCTGCTGCTGCTGCTACTTCCGGTGCTGCTGCTGCCAGCGCTTCTCCTGTTGCTGCTGCTGCTCTAGCGGAGGCTACAGACCCCTCCTGTGTCTCACACTGCTGCTTCTGCTGCTGCTGCTGGGTTTGCTGCAGCGGGGCGTCCCTTTTGCTGCTGGGTGAGAGGAGATCTGTACGGTCCTCCTCTGCTCCTGCTGCAGCAGCAGCCGCTGCAGCAGCAGCAGCTGCTGCTGCTGCTGCTGCTGTTGCTGCTGCATTTAATGGGAGAAAGCGGATGGGGGAGGCTAGCGGGCTCTTCAGAACAAACGGCAGCGACGCTGCTGCTGTTGCTGCTGCTGCTGCTGCTGCTCTTGCTGCTGTTGCTGCTGATGCTGCTACTTCATCCCCAACTAGGGGTGCTGCTGATGCGAATTCCTCTACAGGGCATTCTGTTGCTGCAGCAGGAGAGACCTGTCCCAGCAGCAGCTGCAGCTGCTGCAGCCTTAAACCCCGAGAAGACAATGGCTGCCACGACCAGGCACCAGGAAGAGAAAGCTGCTGCTGCTGCTGCTGCTGCTGCTGCTGCTGTATGTTGCATCTGCAAGGCTCCAAACTGTAGGCAGGCCAACAGAAACTGCTGTTGCTGCACCTGGCGCAGCAGCAGCTGCTGCTGCTGCTGTTGCTGCTGCTGCTGCTGGGAGTTGTACAAGCTGAAGGCATAGGAGAGGAGACCTCGTCAAGAGTTAGAGAAGCAGAAAATGTGGTTGTAGGTCCCCCGGCTTGTGCTGCTGCTGCTGCTGTTATTGCTGCAGCAGCAGCAGCAGCTGCTGCTGCTGTTCTCGCTTGCTTGTTCCAGGCTGCAGCTGCAACTCCACTCACTTGTGGGGTCTTCAATTTTGCTGCCATTTCTCCTGCTGCTGCTGCTGCTGCATTCGCTGCAGGTAGAGACAGGGGCAGCCCCAGCAACAGCTGCTGCTGCTGCTGCTGTTGCTGCTGCTGCTGTTGCTGCTGCTGCTGTTGCTGCTGCTGCTTTTGCTGCTGCTGCAGAGTGAGACGGTTTCCTAGGAGTTCGACTTGTTCCCAAAACCCCTCTGTGCACGCACTCTCTTGCTGCAGGTGGTGCTTCTGCTGCTGCCGCTGCTGCTGTTGCTGCTGTTGCTGCTGCTGCTGCTGCAGCAGTACATCCTCCCCAGGCGCAGTTGAGCAAACTGAGGTGCGGTCTGGGCTATGCAGCGACCCTGCTGCTGCTGTTGCTGCTGCTGCTGCTGCTGCTGCTGCTGCAGGTGAGTAGAGAGTCGCAGCGAGTCTCCAAGCCCCTGAATCCGCTGCTGCTGCTGTATGCATTGATGCTGCAGCAGCTGCTGCTGGTGCTAGTGCTGCAGGGATAGGCAGGGGTCTGCTGCTGCAGTCTGGCTTCTGCGGTGCTGCAGAAACATCACACAGCGGCAAGCAACTGAGTGAGGGGCGACGCTGCAGCAGCAGCAGCTGCTGCTGCTTCTGCCGTTGCTTCTGATGTTGGTGCTGCTGCTGCTGATGCTGCAGTTGCGTTGGGGCGGTTGTCCTGCACACAACAATCCTGCTGCTGCTATTGCTGCTGCTGTTGCTGCTGCTGCCCCTAGACTGCAGCAGCTGAGCCCTGAAGCGCTCCCTATCTCCTCGAATGCGAGGCACACGAGACTGATGCTGCCACAGCTGCTGCTGCTTCTGCTTCTGCTGCAGTTGCTGCTGCTGCTGCTGCTTATGAGAAAGAGCTCCTAGCCTGCAGCCTCCAGTGCTGTAGGGTTTCAAAGAAAACTTATTAAAGATTAGAGACGCCCCCACCCACTCTGCTGGCAGCACGAAGGGTGCGAAGGCTGCTGCTGCTGCTGCTGTTGCTGCTGCTGCTGCTGCTGACGATGGCTTGTGCAGCAGCAGAAACAGCTGCGGCTTCCGTTCTTCCGCAGGCCCATGCGTCTTGTGGCAGTAATACACCCCGCATGTGCTGCTGCTGCAGCCCCAACCGCTGCTGCTGCTGCTGCTGCTATCGCAGCTGCTGCTGCTGCTGCTGGGATATGCAGCACATGCAGCACGCTTATAAACGAGAGGGTGGAAGTTGATTTCGTCTCTGCTATGCGAGAAGACGCAGGCGGAGCTGCAAAGGCTTCGAGCTGCTTTCGCTGCTGCTGCTGCTTTGGCTCCTGCTGCTGGCTTTGTTGCTGCTGCTGCTGCTGCTGCTCTCGCGGCAGCAGGCATAGCGACGGACTCGCGCTGCAGCGCTGCTGCTCGCGGCGTTCTTTGGCCATCTGCTGCTGCTGCTGCTGCTGCTGTTTCTGCAGCAGCAGAAGATGTTGCTTCTGCTGCTCTCGAACAGAGGATGGGTAAGTATCTAAGTACAGCTATCTTTCCAGTGGAGGTCGTTGCTGTTTCGACATTTGCTGCAGCCGCAGCATCTGCTGCTGCTGCTGCAGCAGCTGCAGCAGCAGCAGCAGGCAAATCGCGGTAAGAGAAAGGCGACCGGCGAACCCAGAAGGGATCATGGCAGTAGTTGCATCTTTCAGAGCCGAAGTCGCTGAGGAAGAACAAAAAGCATAAGCCTCAAACCCTAAACCCTAAACCCTAAACCCTAAACCCTAAACCCGTGCTGCCAGCTGGAGAGGCGGTGTAGCAGCACTACACTCAGCACGCGAGTCTCAGCTGTGTGCCTCGTTAATTGCGCCTCAGTGTTTAGGGTTTAGGGTTTACGGTTTAGGGTTTAGGGTTTAGACATAAGGGTTTAGGGTTTAGGTTTCAGGGTTTAGGGTTTAGGGTTTAGGGTTTTTTGCGTTATCGCACCAGCGTGTAGAGCGAACTTTGTGGCACGCCTTAGTGCGGAATCGTTCAATTTCCTCTTCGTTGAGCAGCGGCATTTGTTTATATAAGAAGAAGAAAGATAAATAATTTTAATAAAATATAATTGCTGTTGAAGACTCAGACGAGAAGATACACCACAGAGATATAATAACAGCCTCTGCCGCCATAGGGAGCGTGGAAGAGAAAGAGGCCTTTGCCTTCAGAAGCCAACAAAACCGAGGGTTTAGGGTTTAGGGTTTAGGGTTTAGGGTTTAGGGTTTAGGGTTTGGGTTGGGGGGAGGCGGGGGGTGTCTGCGTTTTTCATTTGTTCTTCGCCAGCTAAGATGAAGAAGACAGCCAAGTGAGAAGAAATATTTGTTTGTGTTTTCTAACAAAACAAATTTGTAATAAAGCAGAGAAATGCCTCTCCTTTATTTTTAATTGAGATATCCAAAGGAACAAACATAACACGAAAATAAAATAAAAGCTAGTGGCCGCCTAAAGATTTAAATGAGGAAGCAAAGAAAAGTAATGCAGACATTTGGTCGCCTCCTCCACTTCATTTAATCCCTAATTACAAACAAACAAAGACAGAAAAGAAATAATCAGAACCACTGACATAACCAACACAGACCAGACCAGACCGGACCAGACCAGTCGCGCTCTGTCGTTGGGGCCCCCTGCGAAGTTGAATATGACGAAGAGGTTTTATTTTCCCTCTGCTGCAGCAAAATAAAATACAATTAATAATATATTTAATCAATTATTTTGCTTCTTTTAGTCGTACTCTTCGTTAAATGCACAAAAATATATATGCCAACTCGAGCAAATGCATAAAAATGCACACGGCGACAACCACCAGAACTGAACAACTCACGCCGCATATCCAACATTTTTCTTTTATATTTTAAAATAATATTTTTATTTTTAATTTAATCACAATTTATTTCCTTCTTCACATGGACGGAGATACCCCTATACCCCCAATGGTCATCTGTTAGGGGAATCGAGCGAGCGCAGCAAACTAAAGCCAGCTGAAGTGCTAAGAGATAACATAACAGCTACGCAAATATTTTTCTCCTCTCTTCTCTGTGCTGATATATATATATATATATATATCAAAAACAAATACTTCAAAAGGAGCGGCAAATTGTAACCTTTAGAGGCAGAAATGCATGGAGAAGCACAACTAACTGTACTGTGTGCTAACCGAGCAGCTCTACAGATACGTGCAGCGAACTATGCAAAGATTAGTACCTGCTGTATAGCTAGCTAGCTAGCTAGCTAGCTATACAAACAACAACGCATATATCTGTACATGCGAGGCGAGCTCGAGCTATGGAAACCGACAATCATACTAACACACACAAAACAGAAGGAAAAATAAGCAGTTTAAGCGTGCAAACAAAGAGGTATATAAGCAGGTGGACTGTCGCTAACGCGTTTTGTCTGCTTTGCATCCATATGACGCATTAAAGGCGAAGGGAACTACTTATCATCATTGCCTTTACTTCGAGAGAATGCAAAGCAGTGTTTCTTCGTTTGCACTCGTGGGCTTTCTCACAGTGTAAGCAAATAGGCAACTCTCCGAGGTTCAGTGCATGTGCAATACCACCGGATTTGAATGGGGCTGAAATGGTTCCAGCTGTTTGATAGCTTTCAGTAGGGGTATTACTTGTTCGTGTTGTGAGTGTACAAGCTGTTTTGCCTTCGGTATATTCTCGTTTATGCACTCCATAAGAGAGAGTATACCGAAGCTAAAACAACTAAAAGGGTACTACAGCTCTTCATTGTGCTTCCCCGAATGTTTCTGGGTACTATTGCTAGTGGTTAGGCGCCGGCAGCACAGGTCAGGGGTTGCATGAGTGCCAGCAAGGGCTACGAGTTCAGCATAGTGCTTCCGGGTAGGGCAGCACAATGTTTAAATGACTTCCATTTAACTGAAGACCCACACGCTCCCGAAAACAAAGAGATCTTGGGCGCAGCAGCGAGCACTATTTGCGATTTTAGGAGCGTTACTATGCTTGGCATGTCTAAATGATGCAAAGAAGAAACGAGTAGTCTCGCGTAGCATTCTCTGTTTGAAGTTCGTACATGCATTTCTGCTTGCGTGCATGTTGGCTACCGCGGTGCATGTTCGTGTTTAAATGTCAAATTTTTACGGGGTTAGGGTAAACGCCAGAATGGGGCTTGGGTTTGCTTGCACTTTTAATCAATCGCTGCTCAGGACAGTTCTCAGCTCAACTCGAAGACTCCCGTCACATATAGTAGCCACCCATGCTTGAGAGGGGCAAAGGCCAACTGAGAGCCACTCCACCAGAGCTGAAGAAGAGCCTGGTGAATAGGACAGACTACTCGTGAAGGCTCCTTCCCTAATAAAAAGAGAGGAAGCGATTTTTAGATGCTCGCCATCGACTTCTTCTAAACGCTTCGGCCTTTTACCCTCTAGAACAGGCGGGATCGATCAAACTATTCCCTCCTGCAAGGAGGTTACCAATGGCTGTGCGACTCCTATTGCCGTATCTGAACGCCATCCATCAGAATTACTGTCGCCTGGAAACGATGTATTAAGGAAGCCTCCGCCTTATCTGAGAGTCCAGATATAGCGGATCTCGTGATGCCGAGGCAGTGGAGGAGTTCCTTGCATCTCCGGTGCTGCACTTCCGTCTTCAAAATGCACTAGGAGGGGTAAGACTTCTACTGGCATCTTATTCTAGTAGGCGAGGCACGACAAGTGGTTGCTGTGTCTAGCCCAAGGTACCACTTGCCCGGAGAACAGCCGAAGGGTGGAAGACTTCTGAGATTCGCTCCGGTGTATATTTCCCCCCACATCAGCAAGGGGAAACGCTAGGGCAGAACTAAGACGGCTAAAAGAAGGGAAGCCATCGATCGAGCACTACACTGAAAAAAGCAGAAGGCCGTGGAGAACGCAAGACCCACGGTTGTCTCGAAGCTTTTATGTCCACTAGGCTTCATCTATCCTGTCCTCTAGAGAAAGTTAGTAAGTAATAGTCTGTCCCGTGGTTAGGGAACTATAGGCTAAAAGTATACAAATCGCAGATACGATGGAGTCCTTACGCATCAAACAGAGAAAAGTCGTACCCATACTTCTTTGGCTAAGATGGAATAACGCGGGTTTGGAAACCTGGTAAATATATACCCTCTGGATACAGGGACTGGGAATCTCAACTCTGGCCAAAACCAAGGAGCGGCGAAAAGAAACAGCAGCCGACGTGTCCGACATTCAGAAATTTGTGAGGGATATCCTCAACAAGCGTTTGCTTTTGTGCAGCAAACGAGCTCGTATTGGTCTCTATTGCAGGATTACACAAACAAACGAGCTGGAGAGCCAAGACGTAGAGCACCAACGCGAGGCAAGCCAGCAATGCTAGCAAGGGAAAGCGCTGGCCGCCATGTAGCATTCAGTGGTTAGCAAACTTCTTGTTCATGCTCAGGAGTTGCTATCGCTACCTTACTGTGACTACGAAGTCAATCTGGTTTATAAGGCTCCGTCAAATGAGAGTAATTTATCTGCCCATTCGTAAGCAAAGCTCGCAAGACTACGTTTTGCCGATGGCAGATAATGCAAGATAATAAAGGATATCATAGGCATAAAATGCTGGCTCAATCCAGAAACAGGTCCTATTACTATCATACGGGACTTCTACGTTGAAGTAATTCACTGCAAGAAAATCCTGTGCGTACTGTGGATGACTGAGTGGAGGGATCGCACGCGGGTTCCAGAGACCGCCGTTGTTGTCTATGTACCAGGAAGCAAAGAGCAAATGCATTTCTCAGAGCTCATCACAGCATTTAGATCCTCTTCAGCCTGTCAGGAGTGGGGGGGCGTGTGCATTTGGGGAGAGACGGTTAAGCTTGTGTAGCTCGCTCACTCTGTCATCAGTTGATGCATTCTACGGGAACAGGTTGGGTGCTAAGGGTGAACAAAGTGTGTAGCAATAGTCAACGGTTTTGTTGCATGCATCATCAAAAGAGGGTCTGCGTAGCTGTGCATGTGGAGACTGCCTCTCAGGAGGAAATGCCGGCTGCAGCAAAGAACTGCCGCAACTCACGCCAGGCCACCCCCACTGCATACCATCCCCAGGCCTTTGTGCTGCTGTTCCCAGGAAGCGCGGACGCTGGAATGGAAATAAGCTGTTGTTATGAAGCTCTTACTTTGAACTTTTTGACTCGTAGCAGCAGACGACGGTAGTTGAGCAAGACACTCGTTCCAGCGTATCGCCGACAAACTGAACGAGACAAAGGAGCAGACATGCCTCAGCATAAGCAAGGCTCCAATAAATAAAGCGGTTTTGCTTGTTTTAAGCTGAAAAAGCAGAAAAAGGAGTCTTCGCCTAGCAGTTGTCTGCAGCGGAGCCACTCGACAGCTGTGCAACAAGGAAGCCGCATGGGGGTTTCCTCAGCATTGCTCAGTTTATGTCGTTCGTTTGGCTTTAAAGAGTTATTGTTTTGATCTTCTCGTAATTCAGTTAGTGTGAAGTCCATTCGTAATTCAACAGTCGCTGAGATTTCCGTAACCTGCATCGGCCAATCGGCGGGCGGCTAGTTGGAAGGGGTTCGTCGGCGTTTGGTGTTGAATATGATTCAATTGAGAGAAAAAACAAAGGGTTTCCCCTTATTTTAATTAAACATGTTTAGTGGGTCTAATATAAAGGCAAAAATTCGGAAAAACGCAATGCTTCCCTCATCGAGCCATGGTTTACATAATGGGCACCAGACGGTCAGCCATGCAGGCTTCGTTGGAGTGTATAGGCAATGCGGCTGCAACTAAGGATCAGCATTTTCCTTCCTAAATATGAAAAAAGCGTTTGAAGAAGTCAAGGATAAGCAGTTATATTGAAAGAACCATTTATTCTTTCATTTCTTGGGTTTTCTCCGAGTGCAGCGGCAAAACAGCAGCGGCAAGTGCTTCATCGGCACTTGACTGAGTCGTGGCTACGTCGCCTTTGTCGTTTTTTTGTTCTTCTTCCGTTGTAAACAGCTCCGTATATACTTAGGGTTTACATTCTTTAGCTACTCGCCGCAATGTCACAAGAAGAAGTCAAAACGGCCGCAGGCCTCAAGAAGAAAGTTTCTGACGTGCACGCGTTCGATCAGTCTGGCGCCGTCTTTAAGGTGAGTTGTTTCCTCTTTCTTTCATTTTCTATTATTTTGGTGCAGCAACAGCATCACGCGCAGCAGCAGAAGCTGCAACACGCTCACCAGTTATCTGCCTCACCAGCAGCAGCAGCAGAAACATGAACAGCAGCAGCTGCCTACTTCGCGTGTGTATATTCCCAGAGTTGACTTCATCTCAGCACCACAATTTGTTATATCATCCAGGCTAACAGCTGCCTGCAAAAACCCTGAAAAGCCCTAAACCCTAAGCAGGGATCTATGACTGTACCTCCGGCGTTGTAGCCATTAGAAGCATTACGACCGATCTGCATAATATATCTTGTACAAAATAAGATACTGTTATGCCTCGAGTTGTTTCCTTGGTGTTTCGATGCTTTCTTAAATATACATTATGTATTATAACTGCATGTACACTGCAGGCAGTTTACTTATTTGTTTGTGTTGTGTGTGTTGTTCTTTTCTTTTGAACATGTTTCGTATATCCTTCTAAATATGTTTTGTGTTTACGTAGGGGTTTCAAATATGGACGGATTTGGCTCCTGCTGTTCAGCAGCAACCAAACTTAATGTTTGCAAAATGCGTAGTACAGCCGGGTTCTACCCCTGAAGTGCTGCAAGTACAGCAGGTGGAGCCTGCTGGGGATAATGATGTGTTTGCTGTTCCGCATGCACATGCATGGAATGTAAACTCTTCTATAGATCCAATGACCTATGGTGATATTGGTATGCTTCCTCATACAAATATTCCTTGTGTGCTGGATTTCTTAAGATTCAGATATATGCGCAATCAAATATATACTTGCGCTGATCCTCTTGTTGTTGCTATTAATCCTTTTAAAGACCTCGGAAATACTACAAAAGAATGGATCTGCAAATATAGAGATGCTGATGATTATACTAAACTACCCCCTCACGTCTTCTATACCGCTCGTGTCGCACTCGATAACCTGCACGGAGTCAATAAATCACAAACCATCATCGTCTCTGGTAAATCTACCTATACATTTAATATATATATAATGTAAACAAAGAGGAACTCCATATATATATATATATATATATATAAGGAGTTCCTCTTTGTTTGTGTCTGTCAACCCTTGGGATAGTTCTCTCTTTTGCTGCTGCTGCTGCTCATTTGTTGTGCTTCTGCAATGGCCTTGCTGCTGCTGTTGCTGTCGCTGTTGCTGTTGCTGCTGCTGTAATGACTGCTGCTGTCGTTGCTGTTGCTGTTGCTGTTGTTGGACTTGGTTGATATCTTTTGTATTGTGTTTATGTTGCTGTTGTTTTCTTAGGGGAGTCCGGTGCTGGGAAGACCGAAGCTACGAAGCAGATAATGAGATATTTCGCTGCTGCGAAGGGGGGGGCTATGGACATGAGGATTCAAAATGCAATTATGGCTGCGAACCCTGTGTTAGAGGCATTTGGTAATGCGAAGACAATCAGAAATAACAACTCTTCTCGATTTGGTCGTTTCATGCAGCTGGATGTAGCAAAGGAAGGAGGTATTCGCTATGGTAGTGTTGTTGCTTTCCTTCTGGAGAAGTCAAGAGTTCTAACACAAGACGAACAAGAACGGTCTTATCACATCTTCTATCAGCTCTGCAAGGGTGCGGATGCCGGCATGCGCGAGCGCTATCATCTGCGTCCTCTTAGTGAATACACTTATATCAACCCTAAGTGCTTTGATGTCCCTGGCATCGATGACTTGGCGGAATATAAAGATGTGTGCGCTGCCTTCCAATCGATGGCGCTGTCAGACGAACAGGTGGACTCTGTATGGAGCGTTGTATCAGGAGTTTTGCTCCTAGGAAACGTACAGATTTCAGCAGCTAAGATTGGCGGTATCGATGATGCAGCAGCAATAGAAGGTGCGAACCTGGAGACATTCAAAACAGCCTGCTCCCTGCTCTTCATAGACTCCGATGCTATCTTAAGAGAACTAACAACCAAAGTAACTTATGCAGGAGGGCAGAAGGTAGAGAGCAGATGGAAACAAGAAGACGGGGATATGTTGAAATCATCTCTGGCGAAGGCAATGTACGACAAATTGTTCCTGTGGATTATCAGCGAGCTGAACAAATCCATTAAACCCCCAGAGGGCTTTAAGAATTTCCTTGGTATGCTTGATATCTTCGGGTTTGAGGTGTTCAAGAACAACTCTCTAGAGCAGTTCTTCATCAACGTAACGAACGAAATGTTGCAGAAGAACTTCGTAGATATCGTCTTTACGCGCGAAGCGAGGTTGTACAAAGAAGAAGAAGTCTCAACAGCGGAGTTGGTGTACACATCAAATGCAGAAGTTATTGGTTTGCTTACAGACAAGAAAAGCTCTATTCTTTCCAGCTTGGAAGATCAGTGTCTAGCACCTGGTGGCAGCGACGAGAAGTTCGTAGCTGCATGCAAAACTGCATTTAAGAACAACCCGAAATTTAAACCCGCCAAGGTCTCCCCTAACATTAACTTCCTTGTCTCGCACACCATCGGTGATATTCAATACAGCGCTGAGGGCTTCCTGTTTAAAAACAAAGACGTTCTTAGAGCAGAAATCATGGAGGTTGTTCAAGCCTCAACTAACGTCGTTGTTAAGGAGCTCTTCGCAGGCATTGTTATGGAAAAGGGAAAAATGGCTAAGGGCCAGCTCATTGGCTCGCAGTTCTTGAAACAACTTGAAGCACTCATGGATCTCATTAATGTAATTAATTATACACCTATATATGCTTCTCCTCTATACACAGACAACACATATCTGCATGCCTTCTTGCTTGCACTAACTACATCATACATATTTAGAATGTAGAAACACACGCGTACTTTTAATACATGAATGCATATTCGATAGACTTTGTTCTATATAGACCCTCAAAAGCAGCAGTTGTTTCTCTACTGGATTAATTGCATATGTGCTTTATTGCAAGTAGTGTAAGAAAAACATCTTCCTTCCTGCATGTTTAAAGAAGCCATAGAGTGTGTTGTATATGTTAATGTTTGTCTTCTTCATCTTTGTTATTGGCTGTTTATTATTGTTGCCCTCGTGTTTTTCTTCTTTTTTGCAGAGCACTGAGCCTCACTTCGTGCGATGTGTGAAGCCCAACGATACCAAGAAACCCTTAGACTGGGTTCAATCCAAAGTGTTGATTCAGCTGCATGCACTTTCTGTTCTAGAGGCCCTGCAACTCCGACAAGTTGGCTTCTCTTACAGGTATAAAAGACAGAATTTCATAAATAGATCAGTCTCACCGATGCAGTTGTTTGCGTGAGAGCCATCACAAGGAGAGACTACTACTAGCAAATAATGCATATATTTATACATACATGCATACATGCATATATATATATATATACATATACATATATATTTACGGATACATACATATCTACATATGAGATTTATACATACATACATAAATACATATGAAATTTATATATGTTTATATTGCTACCTCTCCTTGCTTATTATTTGTTTGCCTATTGTGCTGCTTGACTGTCTGTGTTTGCAGACGTCCGTTTAAAGACTTCTTGTATCAATTCAAATTCATAGATTTGGGAATTACTGAAAATCCTTCTTTGTCTCCTCGCGCTGCTTGTGAGGCACTCTTGGAAAAGGCAAAGGTCGACAGCAAGTCATGCCAGGTAAACATTAAGAAGAATAAATACAATAATTTATTATTATTTCTAGGAGATGAAATACAAATAAACAATAAATTATAAATAGATAGATAGATAGATATAGATACATAGATATATGTAGATATAGATATGGATGCAGATATATAGATATAGATATAGATATAGATACATAGATATGGAATGATATTTAATTGTTATTCTTTTTATCTACTCAGCTCTACGCTATCTTCCCTTTTAATGTGCACATACACCACACTGTATTTTGTTTGAAATCCCCTTCACTTCTTTCTTTTTATCACTGATATATATATACATATATATATATATATACATCTTTGTTCTACTATTGTCTTGCTGATGTTTTGTTTAGGTTGGTAAGACTATGGTATTCTTAAAGCAAGAGGGAGCAAAGCAACTAACGTTGCTGCAGAGACAATGTCTATCTGCATGGACGCCTATAGTTGCTGTCTTGGAGTCTGTTTACATGCGCTTCCGTCTCAAACAAATGTTGTCAAAGAAACAGCACTACCTCGTACGCGCACAAGCCCATATACGCAGGTCAGCCATCTTAAACCCTAAACCCTAAACCCTAAACCCTAAACCCTAACTCTAGTACAACCACCAGCGTACTTGCGCAGGTGGGTTGTAAACCCAGTAGTAGATGAGCAATAGAATATTGAAGTGTATGATAATGCTTAGGGGATAGAGTTTGTAAATATAATATATATATATATATATATATGTATAGATGCATATATATATATTATCTTAATAATGTAATATCGAAGAAACAAAATATGTAAAAGAAATATTTAAATAACGCAGTATCTAACTAAACAAATGAATATCTAAATTGCTGTGTTAATAATATACTGTGGGGTGCAGAACAATCTATGTACATAAATTATTTTATAGATAAATGTTCTTAATAATAATAAGCAAAGTTTGATTTATTAACAAACTTATTGAATAATATTAAAGCAATTAGTATGAATATGGATAGTATTAAATATAATAATATATTTGTAGGTAATAGCAGTGGAAGTAGTATTTTTCGTTAGTAAATGATAATTATCTGTATGTATGTTTTATAAGTTTAATAATTCTTTTGTTTATATATTCTGTTTATTGTTTTATATTTGTTTATCTTTATTTTCTCTGTCTTTGTTTGCAGACATATCGTAGACCACAACGTCTCTCCTCCTGCTATAACTCGTTTATTTTAAGTGAAGTGTTTGTCTTACGAGTATAGCTGAGGTCTTTATTAACTCTTATCCTTTATCTTTGATTGCTTCTTTTATCTCTTCTGCTGCTTATTACTATGGTATATACTCTGTTGTTGTTTAAACAACATGGTGTGCTGTGCTGCTAACTAACTACTCTCTTTTTCTGTCTTTCTCTCTTCTTTCTTGAGGTTCTGCTGGCTTTTCTTTTATATTATATAAATATATTCTTATTACATTCACAATGCCAACAGAGCAGCAGCGGCTGAAGAAGGGGCTTGCTATTATTACTATTATTATTATTATTAATATTATTAATATTATTATTACTCCTGCTACTAAAGGAGTTGCTGCTTGTTTTTCGTGTTTCTTGCGTAGCAGCAGCAGCAGCAGCAGCAGCAGCAGCAGGAAGACGAGCGTTTTTTGCTTGTCTTTTTCGTCTGTTTATGCATTTAAACAAAGCTAAAACAAACAAAACCCGAACAAAGCAATGATCGAAAAGAGACGGCAAAGCAGCAGAGACACTTAGCCTCTTTCTTTTTCATATTGTAATAATATCAGCTTCTCTACCTCCTTACTTCTCTCAGCAATTCTTTGTCTCTCTTTGTTGATTATTTCTATGCTGGCTTGGTTGCATAGATGCTTGCATATTTATTAATATGCATTAGTGTATGTAGATACAGAATATGTATTTTACAGAATATAAATATATATATACATATATATATATATATATATGTATATATAGGCACATAGATATATAGACCTATAGGTATACGAATATATATTATATATTATATATATATATATAGATGCATAGATAGACGTAATCTAAGAAGAAAATCTACAGTCTGAATACTAAACAAACTCAACGGCTACAACGCGGATGCAACGCCTGGAGGGCCGAACTAACAGCCGCAGCCTCAGCCATATATATATATATATATTATATATATATCTATATTATATAATATATATATATATATGTTGTATATAATATAGATAACATGCATTATAATTATTGTATATTGTAGTGAATAATATATCTGTACTTAATATATAGATTAACACACACGCATGTATATTTATTATCTATCTATACCTCTTCTATCTATCTACCTTAAAATTATATATATATATATATTTATACATATATATATATATATATGTCTTAAGGGTATGGCGGCAATCAAGAGACAAATCCCTGAAAGAAAATATTCTGTTTATCTCCTTTAAACGCACTTCAAGGCTGCTGCTCCTTCAGCAGCAGCTGATATATATATATATATATATATGTATATGTATATATATATATATAACATGTCTTTTGTTATTTGCTTTCTTTCATTTTATTCTCTCTTTAAACCTTCAACCCAACTGCAAGTAGCACCGCCTAAGGCATCTGGGTATGCGTGTGAAGGCATAAGAAGCTGTTGTTGCTGCAGCTGCAGCATCTGCTGCTGCTGCTGCTGTTCCTGCTGCTGCAGCTGCTGCTGCTGAAGGGGTCTCTTAACAGCAGATGCACTCTGCAGCAGCACTTTAACGAGCTTAGCGGACTCCGCTAGCTGCTGCTGCTGCTGCGAGTTGTCTTTCGTTTCACTCAGGTGATTTAGTAGAGACTGCAGCGCCTCAGATTGTGCTGTCTTCTGCAGCAGCAAACTGCTGCTGTTGGGCCCCGTACCTTCTGCTGCCTCCAGCCAGACCAGCAGCAGCCGCAGCAGCACGCGGTGCAGATGAAGGCGCACAACAGACAAGCTCAGAGGCATACACATCTCCTGCTGCTGCTGCTGTTGCTGCTGTGTCTGCTGCTGCTGCTGCTGCTGCAGCTGTAGCTGCTGCTGCTGCGCGTTGAAGATGTCGCAAGTCTGCTCTAGCAGCGTCTCCTCCGCGAGGAGCTGAACGTACACCTCAACAGAGTCAGAAAAAGAGAAAGCTCCTCCAGGCTGCCATGCTCTTGCAATCAACAGAAGATCTGCAGGCAGGGTTTCCTGCTGCTGCTGCTGCTGCTGTTGCTGCTGTTGCTGCTGCTGCTGCCAGGCGGCATGCAGCACTTCCAGGCAGCAGCGCACAAGCATGTTGCCTTTCTGCAGCACCTCCACTGCTGGTGCTGCTGCTGCTGCTGCTGCTGCTGAAGACGAAACGTCGGGCAAATCCGACCAAGCATACTCGCAGCAGCGCAGCAGCAGCAGCAGCACCGGACTTCCTGTTTGTTTCTGTGCTGCTGGCAGCAGCTGCTCCAGCATGCTGCAGCAGCACAAAGACGCACGAAGGAGAATGCGCTCTCGTTCACAACCACGCTCTACACCCGCGGCAGCAGCAGCAACAGCAGCAGCAACAGCAGCAGAAACAAGAGCACCAGCAACAGCAGCAGCAACAACAGCAGCAGCGAAACAGCAGCAGCAGCAGGACATACCTAACCGTTGGCCAGCTGCCTCTTGCAGCAGACGCCTGAAGAAAGAGGCGAGACAAAAGAGCAGCAGCTGCTGCATGCACACTCGCTGCAGCTCCGAACGTCTGCTGCTGCTGCTGCTGCTGCAGCACATCGGGAAGGTGCAGCACCAAATCCACCAGCAGCGCACGTAGAGATAAATGAGGCGCATCTGCTGCAGCAGCAAAACGAAATAGCTGCGGCATCGGCAGCAACGAGAAGCGCAGACGCCCCGCAGGCCCCTGCACGTTGTTGACGGAAGCGACCCACTCTAGTTGCTGCTGCTGCTGCTGCTGCTGCTGGATTTGCTGCTGCTGCTGCTGTTGCTGCTGCAGCACTTGCAGCGATACCCAATCCATCAGCGGGAGCTGCACTTCTCTGACGATCTGCAGCAGCCACACGCACACAAGTAGAAGCAAAGCAGCAGCAAGGCTAGGAACGCCCCTTACTTAGCTGCTGCTGCTCCTGCTGTTGCTGCAGCTAAGAGCGGGCGTGCTGTTGCTGTTGCTGCTGCTGCTGCTAGAGTGAACTAAGAAGCTCCGCTGCATCAAAGCCTTTATATTTGCTGCAAGCAGCCAAGCCGCAGCACTGTTTGAAAGGAGGCGGTGAAGCAGCATACCGTCTGCAGTGTTTTAAGAGAGGAAACAACCTGCTGCAGCAGCTCTGTCTCGTACTGCAGCGTCAGCTGCTGCTGCTGCTGCTGCTGCTGCTGGTCAAGGACGGAGCAGAAGAGGGATGGCAGTTCCTCCCCACAAGTCGGCACGCATGCGCCTGCAGCAATAAGAGCAGCACGCTGCTGCTGCACCTGCTGCAGCAGCTCCAGCGCTTCCATTGCTGCAGTGGACCGGGTAGATGCTGGCACCCCTGAGTGCTGCTGCTGCTGCTGCTGCTGCGGTGCTTCTGCCGTAGCTAAGGCCGTGTACATGCTTGCTGCTAGCAGCCGCAGACGCTGCTGCTCTTCCTGCTGCTGCTGCTGCTGCTGCTGCTCTTTGTACAGCTCAGCAAGGACCCCCCCCTGAGCCAACAGGCCCCCGCTGAAGCAGCAGTGAAGATAAGCCCGCACAATAGAGGCAGCAGCAGTGCTGCTGCTGCTGCTGCTGCTGTAGAGCATTCGCAGAGAAGAAACAGCCCAGTTGTGGTGCCGCGCCGGGCAGCAGCGCAGCAGCAGACCGCAGTAAAAGCTGTCGTCCTGTCTGTTTAGTGCTGCCACTACTGTAGCATGTTGCCGCTTCAGCTCAGCAGCAGCTGCTGCTGCTACTGCAGCCTCTGCTGCTGCTGCGGCTGCTTTCCTACACTGCAACACCTGCTGCTCATGTACCTCAAAGAGGCAATCTAACGCCACCCACTGCAGCAGCTCGCCAGGCAGCAGCAGCGGCAGCTCTCCTCCGCAGCTGCGCTCTAGCCTCGTCCACAGGCCTTCTATCTGCTGCTGCTGCGGCTGCTGCTGCTGCTGCTGCTGCTGCTGCTGCTGCTGCAGAGAGGCCCCAGACACCTGAAGAGTTGCACAATCCAGCAGCACGCGCTCTGTGCACGAATAGCCCAGCACCCGGGGCAGCAGCTGTTTCCACCCGAGAGCAGCAGCTTCCATGCTGCTGCTGCTGCTGCTGCTGCCGCTGCTGTAGCTGCTGTAGATTCTGCTGTAGCTGCTGCCGCTGTTGCTGCTGTTCTCAACAGCAGCAGCAAGATGGACGGCTTCTTTAAAGGCTGCAACGACATCCGCTGTCTGAAGCTCCTTGGTTTTTGCTGCTGCTGCTCTATCTGATGATGACGCTGCTGCTGCCATCAACTGCTGCACCGCCAAGCGCACTGCTGAGAAGGACTCATCCTGCTCCTGCAGCAGCAGCTGCAGCAAGCACTCCGTCAGCAGCGCGCGCTGAGAACAAGCAGCAACAGCAGCAGCAACAGCAGAGGAAATAGAAACCGCAGCGGTAGCAAGAGCAGCACCAATAGCAACAGCAGCAGCAGCAGTAACAACCGCAACAGCAGCAACAGCAACACCAGCAACAACAGCAGCAGCAGCAACAGCAGCAGATGCCTGGTATTCTACCCGCTGTTCTGCTGCACAGTGTGCAAATTTGGCGAGAACTGTCTCCGCCAGCTGCAGCAACCCTTGCGAAGTCCCCTGCTGCTGCTGCTGCTGCTGCAGCTTTTGCTGCTGCTGCTGCTGCTGCATGTACACCTGGACTTGCCAGCGAAAGAGCGCTCGACTGTCTGCTGCTCCCCAAACCCTACGCACAGCAGCAGCAAACCACACTGACGGCTTCAGCATTATTAACTGTGCCGCTGCTGCTATTGTTGCTGCTGTTGCTGCTACTACTGGTGCTGTTGCTGCTGCTACTGCTGTTACTACTGCTGCTGCTCCTGCTGCTGCCTTTGCTAGCAATGCTGCTCTTTCTAGCTTCTGCTGCTGCTGCAGTGTAAGCGCTAACCATCGGAGTTCTGGTAACGGGGAAGAAGCCTCGCCGCTGCTGCTGCTGCATGCTGCTGCAGGTCCTACTACGGGCTGCAGCAAAGAGGGTGGGTGCTGCTGCAGCATCAGCAGCGCGGTGCTGAGGCAGCGCCACAGCCACTGCTGAATTGTGCTGCACTGTAGGAGCTCTGCAAGCGACCTGCGGCACACCAATTGGCTTGGAGTTGCTACTGCTGCTGCTGCTTTTGCTGCTGCTCTTCCTGCTGCTACTGCTGCTGCACAGGCGCCTCCCCACAGTGCATCTGCGTGCTGCCAAACGGCCGCTCGGCTGCTGCGAGGTAATCGCTCAACAGCAGCAATGAGACGCAGCTGGTGCTGCAGCAGCAGCAACAGCAGCACAAAACCCAGCAGCCGCAGCAGCTGCTGCCGATATGCTGGGCCCCCAGGGGCGGCCTCAAGCAGCCGCTGCAAGGCACCCGAGCTGTCTATACACCCCACCAGCAGCTGCAGCATAAACTCGTCTTCGCTCTTACCGCTGCTGCTGCTGTCGCTGCTACTGCGGCTGCTGCTGTAGGTCCAGGGAGGATGCGAAGCAGCAGCAAGTGCATGCACAAGAGAAGCAGACAGGGTAGAGGCGCGGGGCCCCACAAGCAGCAGCAGCTGCTGCAGCAGCAAATCCAGCTGCGCGCACAGCCACTCGAGGTAAGGAAGAGGCAGCCGGCAGGCAGGCGCTGCTGCAGCGTAAGCGGAGCCCCCCTGCGGCGCAGCAGCAGCAAAACCCCGTGAGTTAAACGATGAGTAAACCCAGCTAGGTGCAGCAGCAGCAAAGTCAAGCCACAGCAGCAGAACAAGCAGCTGCAGCAGCAGCAGCAGCAACACGTAGTAACAGCAGCACAACAAGCAACTGCAGCAGCAGCAGCACCTTGACACAGCAGCAAAACAACCCAGTGCAGTAGCAACAGCAGCTCCTAACCGCTGCAGCAGCTAGCTGCTGACGGACGATTGCTGAGCCCGGCTACAATGTTCATACCTGTTGCTCCTGCTGCTGCTCTTGCTGCTGCTGCTGCTGCTGCTGCTGTTTCGTAGTAGTATAGAGCGGAGCGCCCCACAGGCGGCCGATGAGGAGTGCCAGGCGCATCTCTAAGGCTTCAACCCACTGCGGTTGCTGCTGCTGCTGCTGCTCCTCAGTGCTGTTGCTGCTGCTGCTGTCTGATGCAGCCGCGATGAGGGTCAGTCTCGGCAGGTTGCGCCCTTGCAAAGCGCTGCTGCTGCTGCTGCTGCTGCTGAGCTGGAGAGACGCCAGCAGCTGCAGACAACCCCACCGCGTTTGAGGTGCAGCGGGAGGCTGCAGCAGAAACCCCTTTCTGAATTCAATGGCAGCAACTGCTGCTTCTGCTGCTGCTGCTGCTGCATCCGCCTCTAGCTGCAGCCGGCCCAGCACGCTGCGCTGCTGCTGTTGCTGTAGTTGCTGCCGAACGGTCTTTGCTGCTGTACGGTGAGCCAGCAGCGCAGCAGCACCTCGTTTCGCTGCTGCTGCGCCTACAGCACCGCAGCAAACACTGCTGTTGCTGCTGCTACCGGCCGAGACCTCGACGAGTAAGAACTCTGTGGGTGTGAAGAGCCACAAGCGTCTGCTGCTGCTGCCAGGTGCTGCTGCTGCTGCTGCTGTTGCTGTTGCAGCTGCAGCAACGTCCTTTCCAGCTGCTGCAGAGGCAGCTGCAGCAGGGGCAAAGAGAGACTCTGGTAGGCCTTCTGTGCAGCCCCCCAGAAGCTGGCGCAACCTGCTGCTGCTGCTGCTGCTGCTAAGCTGCGGCTGCTGCAGCGGCCACCACAAGAGGCGGTCTTCTGCTGCTGCCAGCAACGGAGAGCGCAGCGACAGCCGGCAGCAGCAGTGCAGATGCATCGGCTGCTGCGCTGCAGCAGCAGCAGCAGCAGAAGCAGAAGGATAGCTGCCTGCCGCTGCTGCTGTCGAGGCTGCGTCCGAGGGCCAGGAGACGCGAAGAGAGAGCAGCACCGACTCTCTGTTTGCTGCTGCAATCTGCTGCTGCTGCTGCTCCTGCTGCTCCTGCTGAGTGCTGCTGCCCTCTGAAAAGAGAAAGAGGCCGTTGCTGCACACAGTCACCGCAGGTTGTTGCTGCTGCTGCTCTTGCTGCTGCGGACGCTGCTGCTGCCCGAAGCCACGGAAAGGCAAGAGCGTGCTGCTGCTGCTGCTGTTGCTGTTGCTGCTGTTGCTGCTGCAAGCTGCTGTCAGCTGCTCCTGGTACTGAGCGGCCTCTGGGGAGTGCAGAACAGATAGAATACGCAGCGAATACCTCCCTGCCGTGCGCGCGGAGCAGTTGCTGCTGCTGCTGCTGCTCTTGCTATCAGGAGCAGCAGCAGCAGCAGCACGTCGATGCTGCTCTACCAGCAACACCACGCGGTCTCCTCTCGAAGTAATGATAGTCAGCAGCGGGCTGCCATCCGGTGTGAAGGAGCAGCACAAATCCGCCACCTCCAGTCTTTCTTGTTGCTTTTGCTGCTGCTGCTGCTGCTGCTGCTGCTGCCGCTGTAGGAGCTGCTGCTGCCAACAGCTGGCGGAGATGTACGCTACGCATTGGACGCCTCCGGGAGACCCTAAAGATTCACTCTCTTCTTCCTGAGCCTCAGCAGAGCCTCTTGTTTCTGCTGCTGCTGCTGCTCCCGTTGCTGCTGCTGCTCTTGCTGCTGCAGTGCCAGACTTCTCGCAGCAAAGCGAGCACTCGCAGCTGCCCTCACCTTCGATCTGCTCCGCGCTCCTTGCGTCATTCTCTAAAGCAGCAACACCAATAGCAGCAGCTGTTGCTGCAGCAGTTGCTGCTGCAGTTGCTGACCCCCGTTTGTTGCCTGTTGAGTAGGGGCGTCGGAAACTGCAGCAAAACAAAACGCAGCAGCAACCAAAGCAAATGCAGCAACAGCAGCAGCAGCAGCAACAGCAACAACTGAAATACCAGCAGCACAAAAAATAGCCTCCCTAACGTGCAGCAGCAGCACCAACAGTAGCATTCGCAACAACAGCAACAGCAGCAGTAGCAGCATTAGCAGCAACAGCAAGAACATTCGCAGCAGCAGAGGCAGCAGCATGGGGAACAGCAGCAACAGCAGCAGCAGCAGCATGGGTAATAGCAGCGATAGCAGCAGCAGCAGCAGCAGCAAGAGTACGTACAGCGCAGCTAATCTCTTAGTAAAGCGAGACAGCATGTGTTCTTCACTGCTTCTAGAAAGGTGCAGCAGATAAACTCCAGCAGCATCATCTGCTGCTGCCAGCAGCCTGTCCCCCGCCTCTGCAACAAGCACAACACCTCGGCATTCTCCTGCTGCCGTTGCTGCTGCTGCTGCTGTGGCTTGTCGCTGCAGCCGCTGCACTGCTGCAGCGGCGGCAGCCGCGCACCGATTGCAGTCTCCGCTTCCAACGCTGCTGCTGCTGTTGCTACTGTTCCTGCTGCTGGGTGTGGGGCTACAGCAGCAGGTGCTGGTGCAGCTGCTGCTGAGGCGGAGAGGCAGGCGCCGCAGCAAAGTGCTGGTAGCTGCTGCATTTATAGATATCTCAAGCAGCTGCCCCCCTATACATGCATGCACGGTGCTGCTGCCACCTTGCTGCTGCTGCAGCTGCTGCTGGGCAAAGAGCCGAGGCACCGGGTGCCAGGGGCTGCGATATAGCTGCTGCTGCTGCTCTTCTCGCTGCTGCTGCTGCTGCTGCAGCAAACTGCGAATGTCTGCAGGCAAATCAAGTGAGAGATTCTCCAGCGCAACCAACTGAGCCATCCACAGCTGCTGCTGCACCCCGCTGCTGCTGCTGCTGCCGCTGCTGCTGTTGCTGCTACTATCCTGCTGCTGCTGTGTTGAAGCAGCAGGCAACAGCAAAGGGCAGCAGCCGCCTGAGTTGTAATCAACTATGCCGCTGTGCCGTCGCTGCTGCTGCTGCTGCTGCTGCTGCTGCAGAAGCACCACAGCGAAAAAAACCACCGACTGGGTAGTGAGCAGCAGCAGCAGGAGTTGCTGCTGCTGCTGCTGCCCTGCCTCGGAGGGTTCTTGCTGCTGCTGCGCCCTACGCAAGCAGCAGCAAGCAGCAACAATAGGAGCATCTGTTGCTAAGCGCACAACCGACGGTTCTGCTGCATCTCCTGCTGCTGCTGCTGCAGCTGCTAAGGGCAGCAGGTAAGCCGTGTTGCCCTGGAATAGACAAACTTGTTGCAGCTGCGGCAACAGCTGCACTCCTATTGCTGCTGCTTCCTGCTGCAGAGCAGCAACAAGTGCAGCAGGCAGAAACCCCCGCGTCAGCGTCTTGAGGTGTATGTACACCGGAAAGAGAGGGGGCTGCTGCCACACATCTACAAGGCTCAGAGGAGCTCCAGGAGTCGCTACTGCTGCAGCAGCAGCTGATGCTGCTGCTGCTTCTGTTGCTTCTGCTTCTGCTGCTTCCGCTGCAGGAGTGCCTTGGTTATCCTGCCGCTGCTGCTGCTGCGGCTGGTTCGGTAGATGCGCTGCAGCAGCAGCTGCTGCTGCAGTGTGCCATTGAAAAACGCAGTCCACGTCTTTTCGTGCTTTAGCCTCAACCTGCTGCTGCTGCAGCAGCTGCTGCTCCTGCGGCGGCTGCTGCTGCTGCTGAACCCCCGCCGAGAGACACCTCACAGCATCTTCTGCTGCTGCTGCTGCTGCCACCTCGACGCGGCGCTGCGCTTCCGCAACGAGACGAAAGACAGGCGCAGCAGCTGCCATTCTAGGGGCTGTTGCTGCTGCTGCTGCTGCTGCTACTGATGCGCCTGCTGTTACTCCTACTGCAGTGCCCCCCAATGGGGCTGCTATAGCAGCTCCGCTGCTGCTGCTACGCGTGAGCTCATCCATGTTGTCACCAACGTTGCTGCTGCTGCCTTCGTTTCTGCTGCCGTTGCTCCCTGTCCTGCTGCTGCTGCTGCTGCCGCTGCTGCTGCCTTCGCCGGCAGGGGGGCCTTGAGCCGCGCTGCAGCAGCAGAGGCGAGCTCCCCTTGTTGCTGCTGCTGCTTGAAAAAGAAATTGCAGCTAATGATATAACCGAGGCTTCTCCCCGCTGAGACAGGGGTCACGCTGCTGTTCCCGCTACTGCTGCTGCTGCAGCAGCAGCTGCTGCTGCTGCTGCTGCATGCGTGCTGCCCGCGGTGGCTGGGCGTTAGTCGCTGCTGCGCATCTGGCGTATTTTTCAACTGAGTCTGCGGATAGCTTAAGTTATATTTTTATTTTTTTCTTTTCTATGTCTTCACCCGACAGGGAAGCAGCAGTGCCTGTTTGAGGGCTGCTGCTGCTTGACCCTGCTGCAGCGGTTGCTGCTGCTGCTGCCGCCGCCGCTGCTGTTGCTGCTGTTGAGTGTACGCACACCTCGGGGCATTTCAGAGAGAAGGCCCTGCTGCACCATGCGCCTTGTATGGCTCAAGTCTTCCCTGAGCGAAGAGACCCGGAAAAGGCTGCGGCTGCTTCGCAGGAGCAACAGCTGCAGCAGCAGCAACAGCAGCTGCTGCAGCTGCTGTCGGCTCCACATTGCAGCAACAGCAGCTGCCGCCGCTACTTGTACGTCCTACAATTGAGTTGCTGGTATTAAGGAGGTCATCTACGGGTTTTCTCTTCGTTTGCTGCGCTGCAGCTGCCCTGACTGCAGCAGCAGCAGCAGCAGCAGAAGCAACAGCCATGTAGCGGCCGCAGTTGTGTTGAAAAGGCAGCAACACGCCAAGGGCTTCGCATTGTCTTGCATACACCTGACCGGGGGGAGAATCAATGGCAGCACCAGCAGCAGCAGCACCAGCACCACCAGGTGCTGCTGCTGCTGGCTCCCCCGCTGCTGCTGCTGCGGCTGCTGCTGCTGCTGTACAGGGGCATCGGACGCCTCCGCCCCCACCTCCTGTGCTGCTCTGTGGCATAGCGGAGTCGCAGCAGCAGCTGCAGCAGCAAGGGGAAGCAGCAGCAGAGGCTGCAGCCTCGTGCGCCTTTCTGACTGCCCAGTGGTCCAGGGCAGCAGCAACAACAGCAACAGCTGCAACAGCAACAGCTGCAGCAGCAGCAGCAGCAGGAGAGTCAGCAAGTTCAACAATGGAGGCGATGGCTTCTCACTCAGGTGTCCGCAACCCTCTTGCAGCTGCAGCCCTCAATTATCGCCCTGGTAGCTGCCGCAGCAGCAGCGGCAGCAGCAGCAGCAGCATTTGCAACAGACACAGTAGCAGCAGACACAGCAGCAGCAGACACAGCAGCAGCAGGAGCAGCAGCAGGTGCAGCAGCGACAGAAGCAGTAGCAAGGACAGCAGCACCGACAGGCGGAGCGGTTGGAAGCAAAGGCATAATCGCATGCATCTGTTCCGCTTGGGGGCTTTTGCTGCTGGATGTGTTGTTGGTTTGCTGCTGCTGCTGCTGGAGCGACAGCAGCAGGAGCAGCAGCTGCAGCAGGAGCCTCAGCATTACCTGCAGCAGCAAGAGCTGCTGCAGCAGCTGCAGCACCGAGACGACAGCCGTTTCGTTTGGAAGAACGTAGCGAGGGGCTTCTGGCTTGTTATATTTGCCGGGGTGATGGTGCACAAGCAGCCAGACAACAGCAGCAGCAGCAGCAGCAGCAACAGCAGCAGCAGCAGCAGCAGGTCATCGAGAGTAGATATGTGGTACCAGTGCATTGCATTGTCTGTGGCGGGTTGCTGCTTGGTGTTTTTCCCGCTGCTGCTGCTGCACTGTCGTTTGTCTTGTACAGCAGCAGCAGAAGTGCTGTTTATTGTGCTGCTGCTGCTGCACCATGTCACTGAATATCTCTTCGTCTTGACATTTCACCCTCGGGAGCTTACCTACGATTCTTTTCTTTTAAACAACACCCCGGTGTACGCTGCTGTGCTGCTGCTGGCAGTGCTGGAGCAGCAACTCAAGCCCTCCGTTGCTGCTGCTGTCCTCAACAGCAGCAACGCGCTGCTGCTGCAGCTCCTCCTGCAGCAGCAAGTTCACCTGCCGCAGCTGCTGCTGCAGCTGCACACCTTCGCCTGGCATGTCCTGCTGCAGCGGCCCCTGCTTCCCAGCGATCTGGATGTGTTGCTGCTGCCACCACTGCAGCAGCAGCTGCAGCAGGAGCAGCTGCAGCAGCAGCAGACCGTTTCTTCTGCCCCGGCCTTAACCGCTGCAGCAGCAACGGATCCTTCGTCTGAGGTGTACTGGCAGCTGTGTATGATGTGCATCTTGGTGTTTGTTTCTGCTAGTGGTTTGTTTGCTGCTCTAGGAGGCCTTCTGCTTCGATGTTTAGGGTTTTTAACATTGAAGGATAATTTCACTCATCAAATAAGAAGAAAAAAAACAGATAAACATATACTGTGCATGCACGGTGTATACAGCAAATGCAGACACCCAGCGTATGCAGGCTGGTTCTGGTGGGCCGTCGGTAAGCTGCTGCTGCTGCTGCTTCTGCTGCTTCTGTTGCTGCTGCTGATGTTTCGTTTAAAGAAGAGAAGACGGCTTCTTTAAGTATTTATCTCGTTGTCGTTTGTTGCAGCCGTCTTTGTCTCTTCTTTTTTCAGTCTACTGCAGCCTAAACCCTAAACCCTAAACCCTAAATTGTATTTCTTCTTGCGCTTTTGCTGCTGCTGCGTTGCTGCTGCAGGGTCTCAGATTCTTTTGCTGAATGTGGTTTGCTGTTGTTTGTTTTTTGCTGTCTCCTTCGTTTTCTTTCGGGAACGAATATACTTTGAGGAGAAACAATTAATTAAATTATTTGGAGAGGAATATGAGGTGTACAGACACCGCGTGCGGACTGTCGGGTACGTCCGTTTTATTGTTAACATTTATTTTGTCTTTCTTTTCTTTTTCTGCATTTGTTTTGTTGCCTTGAACTTCGTTCCGGTTTGTCTGTGCGTTCATCTCTAATGGGTTTTGTTTATATTATATTTTTTATTTTTTGTCTGCTGTATTTTGTTATGCTGCTCTGTCTGCGTCTTCATGCTGCTGCTCTCTTCTGTTGAGTTATACTTCCTTTCCTTTTCTTGTTTATTTTTTCTGCATTTGTCTGTGACCTCTGGGAGCCTTTGCTGGTCTTGTTGGCTTCCATTCATCTGCTGCGGCCCCTCCTGTCTGCTGCTGCTGTTGCTGCTGCTGCTGTTGCTGCTGCTGTTGCTGCTGCTGTTGGTGTTTTGCATGTGCAGCATCCCTGGGCTTCAGTCGGCTCTTGACGCAGCGGAGGAAATGCCGAGGCGCTCTTCTTCTTCTTTATCTGCTTCTTTGTCTTCTTCTTCTTAATCTTTCTTTGCTTCCCTTTACTTTATCTTGTTCTTATCTATCTTTTTTTCTTTGTCTGATTCTTCTTTATCTTTTTCTTGTTTCCTTCTGCTGTACCTTCTTCTTCTTCTCTGGCCTTACTTTCGTTTGTTTGTTCGTTTGTGGCTTCTCGCGTCAGTCTGCGTTAATCACCGATTGTCTTTTTCTTTTCTTCTCTCTCCCTCTCTTTCCTTTTCTCACCTTTTTTCTTTCTTTCTATTTCTCTCTCCTCCTCTTATTTGTTTAAAAGCCTCCAAAGAGAAGCACAAAGCGCCGATGTAGGCGGCGCAACGACAGACCCCGGCTGCTGCTGCTGCTGCTGCTGCTGATGCTGCAGCAGCAGCAAAAGCAACATTATCAACGGCGTTTCCCCGTGTTATCTAGTTGCATGCAAATATAAAAGAGAAGGTTTATTCGTTTGAGGCTGGTCAGAGGTTTGCAGTGTACGTACACCTGAACGGTTGTAGCTATGTACGCTTTTGTATTTCTTTTCTTCTTTTTTCTCACTTTACTTTAAAAGTTGAAACAAAGAAGAAGGAAAAAAACCAAAGTTTATGTGTTACTTTATTAACATTTTCAAGAAACTGCTCTACCAGCAATGCAGCGTAGCGCAGCAGCAGCAGCAGCAGCAACAGCAACAGCAGCCACAGCAGCAGCACCAGCAGGCTATTCCCTCATCTGACTGCGTCTACTAGCTCTTTGGTTTGCAATTAATTTAAACCCCTTAGCTGTCCTTCCATTTGTCGGCTGATAGACGCATAATTAGAAGCTCCTGGGGTTCTCTCTTTGTATTGTTTGCTCGTACGTAATCATGCAGCATCGCACAAGACAAATGGGAAGGCCTGCATGCAGTTTAAATGGATCTACATTGTTGTTGCAGATATATCCCTGTTTTCATATTAAAAGAACTGACGAACGTGCATATCCAATGCACACCAATTCAGATTCGCACGAAGACGCAAACATACACACAAACAGAAATCTTGTTGTGCTGTTAATAAGGCAGAATAAGCGTGCAAAGATGGAAAAACAAGAAAAGGAATTAAAACAAAATAATTTGAACACTGTCTTGCGAATTATTAATAAAATTCCGCAGAGGGCGAAGAACTGCAGATGCTGCACAAAGAAGGAAAGCAGCAGCTGTATGTTTGACTGTTGTTAGTAATTATCTCCAATTGTTTGTACGAGAAAGTATGGCTAGTATTCCCTAAGAAATAATATTTAAGTATATATATATGTATATATATATATATATATATTCAAGTTCGATGAGGCTGTCGCTGTGTCAATCTGAGGTGTGCATACACCTCAAAAAAAAGCCCCTGAAGTGCGCCGAAGCCTGCATTGGAATTTCCAGTATATTTCTTCCTTGACAACGTGCTGCAAACGAATTCAATACGAATACTAATATAATATTATATTATTTGAATAAAAAAATGAATGAAGATAATCAAACTCTTCACAGCATCGCTTGGCAGCGTTGGCGAGCGCGAACGCGCAGCCGTTATTATGATGCTGCTTTCCCTACACATTCTGTTGCATCGAAGTCCTCTAAAATTGAATGGAAAAAAGTAAGAAATAATCAATTAAATTAAATCAACCGTCTGAATAATAAAATATGCAACAATAATTATTATGATGGCCTTATCAGGAATATGTTGCTCTGGGGCCCCGCAAACATTTGGTTTGGATTCGTTATAAAGCCGGAAAGGCAAGAAAGATATTATAAAAAATTATTATAATAACTCGTTCTTTTAAAAATTATTAAAGACTCAGACACTAAATTCGCTTAAATATTTCCATATAGAGTTTCATAGGAGTTAATTCACTGCAAATTAAGTTGCGGTTTTCATTTTGTGTTTAGACTACGTTTTTTGTTCTATTAAAACTAATCATTGATTATTTATTTCAGCTGAGTATCAACGACCTAATGTACGAAGAAGGCCGTTCTTGTTTGCAGAGGTTTGTCTGTCCTTTGTCTTGTTTCCTTTGTTTCCTGGGGCTGTTGTTTGTTTCTTCTGCAGTCTATCCCTCATTTTATTTTTTCTTTCTCTTTAACAGGCAGCCGCATGCAGCCCCTTCCGACTCACCAACAGACGCCGAAATATTTAGTTCTTTCGAGGCACGAAATATAATCGCAGCAGCAGCAGCAAAGAGAGCAGCAGCAGCAGCAGCAGCAGCAACAGCAGCAGCAGCAGCCCCACCAGCACTTGCAAAAGTTGCAGCAGCACTTAAAGCCAAACCAACTGCTGGCCCCGCTCTAAATGCCAATAGAAAACGAGATGCAGTTAGGGTTTCTAACTTCAATCAAACAAGCATCAAAATGAAACAAAACAACACAAAACAAAAACAGCAGCGAACGCCGCAACGCAGGAGCTTCCGATTGGCGACACTGCAGGTAAGGAAGAAAAGAAATAGCAGCAGCAGCAGCAAATGTCTCTTCTTAAATAAAAGAAGCAGTAATAATAGCTTTCTCCTTTTTATATTGTTTTTTTAATTATTTTTTGCGTTGTTTGCAGCCCAAGTGCGTTGTCCAATCTTCAGAAGAAGAATTCACAAACTCCTCCGACTCAGATTAACTCCTGGACCCTCAACTTAATCAAAATAAACAAATTAAACAAACAAATTTATACTTAATACTCTTTTAACTGAATAAATATCTTGATAAGTGAACAAACAAGCAAATGAAGGGACGAGGGAATGAAGAACAACGCATACTCCACCATATGCATAATGTTTGAGTAAATAAATAAACAAGCAAAGAAGTCGAAAAAGAAAAAGACAAAACAGACGAGAAAAAAACAAGTACTCGTAGACAATGTATTGAGTTGTGTGCTATTTGAATCGCCACTAATGGAAGCCGCCTTTTATATTACTTTAAATGTTTAAGTAAGCTGACGGCATTACTCCGTATAAATAAAGCAAAGCGTTCTTAGACAAATTAGAGCAAACTTTTACCGTTTTTTTTCAAAGTTATTTCGTAATATTCATCACAGCATCTCAACGTGTGCATTTTGTTTGTTGTGAATTGATTTTCACGAGTGTTTTGTGTCTTTTCTTCGCTCATTTACTGCCAGTTGTTAGCCAATTCGAACAAAATAATAAAATAAAACTAAATAAATTTTTATTTGTTTTTTTCTCCATCTTCGTACGCAACAGACAGTGCAGCAGCGCAGACCATTGAACAAGGCGGCGTCGCTGCAGTGGTGCATGAGTGGAGAAGGCAAGAAACAAGCAGAGAAAAAGTAGAAAAAAGCAGAAAAATATTTTAACGTAAACACATTTTACCTTTATTTTTGTCTGTTGATTTGTAGAGAATATTTATTGCGTTGTATTTCTTCATATCGCAGAAATTCAATTTCATCATCGGCAGTCGGTTGCATGAGAGGCTCGATACAGGAAAGCAGAAGGGAAAGTTGGTTGAAAAGGAAAAACATGTAATTTTGTTTGATTATTTATTAAGTATATAATTATTTTATTTATTTGAATCAATACTTTATGCATTTCAGGGGTAAAAACAATGCAAAGTTCATAGACGCACACAAGTGCTTACGACGACCGCTGGCCAGCGGCCGCCAAGCTGATGAAAACATCCAGCGAAAGCAGAAGAGCTGCTGCTGCGAGTTTTCTTTTCTTTTCATACCCAATTATTTGTACAAATTAGATTAAAATAAACACAAAGAAGAGAAATAAAGTAGAAATACAGCGCAAGTAAGCCCCCCTAATCCTACCTGGTGCCGAAGGAGCAACGTATCGCTGTGGCCGAGTCACAACGAGCGGTTTATTCTCCTATTTGCTTCTTTTTTTGAATTTTTGTGAAGATATTAATTTAAATGAACTTCAATTCGTTGTCTTTTCTTTCTGCCTTTCACACGCCAGAGAAGTGACAACGCACGAGTTGTAGACAGTGCTGTTCTCTTTTCTCTCGTACGCACTTGCAGTCTTAGAGAGTACAGACATTTTGCAGTTGTTTCCTTCTTCTTGTGTTTCAAGGGGAATGCATAGAAGATAAACTTGT